GTGTGTGTGTGTGTGTGTGTGTGTGTGTGTGGTACTTGTGAAGATAACTAGTGTTGTCACTAGTTTTAAAGGCTTATAGATAATCCAGATGATGTTTGTCTTTCTGAGTTTTTTTTTTTTACGGGTTTAGGAGATAAATATAATTAATCTAATAGAAAAACAATGGAAGATGTCTTCACTAATATGGTTTGTAAGATCTCTCTTGTGTACAAAAGAGAAAGTGTGTGTTAGTTGTTTATGGATCACTTATGCTTAAACTAAGAGGGAAGTAGACTTCGAAGCATGGCTGCTAGTGTCTGATGTGTTTGTATTTGCATTTATAGACCAGTCCAAGAATACCAGGAAATTATGTTTTTCCTGCTTGCATTGCATTGTGCTGCAGTTTTTGTTTGACAGGCCTCTCGTGTTGTTTAGAGGGATTTTGTTCCTGGTCGTTGCATCTTAAAAATGCGCTCAGGTGCTTTCAGGGCCGTGAACACAGCAGTCTAAATGATAATATATTTATTTATTTATTAGCCAAGCTAATGCCAGACATTCAGATCTCCTGTTTCAGTTCAACATTCAGTCATATTGACATCGTTTTATACGTCATTTAATAATGTTGCAGCCACAAAGTCCACAGATCAGAAACAGACACTTAATCCATCTCTGCTGCACATGATATGATATCCTCTTTCAAATTCTCACAGGATTACTTTATACTACAAAGCAGGCTTATTATGAGGAAGTGAGATGCAGTACCATTTGCTTAGTTATAATAAACCTGACCACATGCTGCAAGAGTTACTATAAGTATAAAGCTTCCAAAATAAAGAACCATTTTGTGTTCCAAAAAGAACTTTTCAGTGAACAGTTGTTTTTTCTTAGTGTGAAGAACATTCCAAAGAAACTTTTTCAACCTTGGAAAGATTCCATGGATGTTAAAGGTTCTTCATGGAACCATCGATGCAAATAAATGTTATTTTAAGAGTGTAGATCAGTAATCAACACCAAGAAGTCTGTTGTTTAGTGAGTAAGGCCCGATACTGCAGTTATTTTTGTAAAAGCATTTTGAATTGAGTCATGGGAATTTTTTGAGGAATATGCAAATTCACATGATTGTGAGTGTCTCTAATCGTTCTTTTTGGTGTTTTTTTTTAGCTTGGCCTTGGTCGTGACCACGCTTCTGCTTGCAGCTGCATCTGGTAAGAATGCCATTTTGCAGAATTCCACATTTTCACCTGTCAGTGTTTAATAGTAATTTGTCTGAAAAGCCGAACAACCAGCCACCTTTGCAAACAGTTATAGTGATTTGAAGAGGACTAGCGATGAAAATAATGAGCTAAATGTAGAGATTGAAAGAGAAATGTTACGGGAGGATGGATAAGTTTGGATGTAGGGATGAATTACTAGAAGCCGTAGGAGTTGGGGAATGCACCTCTACACCAGAAAGTTAAAAGAACAAGGAAGCAAAACTCGGACAGTAAGAAAAGCACTTGTAAACCACTGAAATAAGTCATGGAGAATCACCCTGATTGAAACAAACATGCCTTTACACCCACAAACACACACGTTTAGCTGCATTTGAACATACCAGAGACTTCAACTATATTTAAATACACTTAAAAAGGACTTGTACCCACAATCTTTACTAAACATGGCAGTGTTTCTGACACATGTAATAGTAGAACACATTGTCACTGCTATCAAAGGTTCCCTGTTTAAAAGGGAACCCCAATAAAAGCAAAAATAATTTGTAAAAATTAATCATTTATATGTATGTATATATATACTACAAACAATAAGTAATATTTGTGTGTGTGTGTGTGTATATGCGTGTATAATATATGTATTACACACAATAAGTAGTGTATGTTACTTGTATGCATATATATATATATATATATATATAAAACATAAAAAAGATGCCATTAAACAAATATTAAAATATACTTTTTCTACATTAATTTGAAGATTAAATGTGAAATTATTGCAATATAAAAGCATATTTAAAAACTTAAATGTTAGTTGCAATTAATCGCGATTAATTTCAGAAAAATGTGCGATTAATTAGTAAATTTTTTAACTGATTGACAGCACTATACATAATATAATAATAATATAATATATAAACTATTATATATTAATATATATAATAAACTATATATATATATAATATATATAATAAAATTATTGTGTGTAACGTAATGTATATATACTATTATTTTTAAGTTACTATTATTAAGTTTATATATTTATATACGCTATTCTATATATACTAACTTTTGCAGACATTTTTCAGCAATGGTTGAGTTACAGGTCTTATAGAGTTTTATTGTTTTGCTTGCAAATGAGAAATCTTGTATCTGTGTAATTATCTAGTCAGTAGCACAATGCTATTAACAGTGCAAACAGCAAACTGAGTGCATGTTACTATTTAGACTGAAGTATACCTGCCTTATTATAACCAGCTGTAATAATAATCGGTGTCGACTGAAATGCTTCTGAAATTTGAGTTGTTTCTGTCATGTTGTTGTGTGTTTGTGTAGGTGTGAGCGATGCAGCGATGAACATCACGGCTGTTTTGGGTCACAGCGTTACATTCAGATGTCCTTCGAACCACAGCAAACATGTTGAACGCTTGTACATACAGAGAGTTACAAATGATAAAGAAGACATGTACATCAATGGGTTTTCTAATGGCCGCGAAATACCAGGGAAGGGTTACCAGAGCAGAACCAAAGTGAACACAATGGACTACAGCATGGAGATGAGAAACATCTCAGTCGGTGATGAAGGATCGTACATTTGTGTTTTTGTTTTCGTCGACAAAGCGTACAAACCTGAAATCTCAGAGATTTTCCTCAAAGTCACAGGTATGACACAAGATACAGACAACAGGGTCGAGTTAAATTCAGAATTGAAGAATCGGATCATATTCAGATTATGAGTGTGAATCTGAATCAAATCGACCGAAACAGACAGGAAGTTGAATTAGAATTTGAATCTGAATGACAGAAAGAGGAATTTACTGAAGTGCAATTCAAAGTAACAGAAATTTCAAAAAGACAATACAAAAATTACATTATTAATTTTGGCTAGTTATGCCTATTTATTACCTGATATGTAGAATATATTTTATCCCAAATTTTCAGATATTCCTCTAAACTAAGTTTAATACTGTCAAAACAATTAACAGCCATCAGTACAAATTATTGTACAAAAATGATACCACACCGTTTCCAGATATAAAAAATCATATTAACATAGGCCTACATTTTTAAAAATGTTATTAAGGAAATTAGAGCATTCTGGCAAATTAGTAAATATTATTTCTGTGAATACTCAGTATGTTATGCACGAGAATATATGTTTATATGTAATTCATACTAAAGTATGAAATGCATTGTTAAAAATGACACTTAATTGTCTACTTTCTGAATTTTGTATGCATCCCATTAGGTACTTAAATTCAAATGCAATTCAGATTTTGAGCCATTCTCATTTCAGTTCTGAATGATGCATAACCTTGATAAACTCCTGCAGTGTGTTTGTGTGTTCATGTGTGAATAATGAAGCCATTCTGCGAAAATATCATTTGAATATGCGTATATAGCCTATTTGTGTGTGTGTGTTTGTACGTCTGTTGGTTTATTTGCGTATGTAAGTCTGTCTGCGGGGGAGCGCATGCTTGTTCGCATTGGAAACTCACTGCTGACTAAGGATTCTGGGATGGTTGCATTGACGTGGGTTTTAGGGAAGTGAAACGCTGCAGGGGGGGAACCTCTCCGGATCTCTAAAATGTCACTTATTCCACTGTTCTCTTCTTTTTACAGCTGAGTACAGCGTCCCCACAATCACACCTGACTGCAGTGAACATAGACGCGGCGTCAGTGGCACGGGGATGAGCTGTCACTTAAGCTGCTCGGCGGTGGGAGGATACCCACAGAGCACCGTCAGATGGGCGGGGCTTAATCCAAGTCTGACGAATATATTTTACAACTGGAGTTTAGCACATAACGACTCCAAAACATGGACCATCAACCAAACCATCATGTACAACTGCGACCAGCCAACCAATGTCAGCTGTGCCGTAGGGGGCACTGTTTCCCACACCATCACCATATGTAAGTGTGTTGGATGTTAAAGGAGACATATTATGCCCCTACAATAAATACACTGCTCTGTTGTCTCCTCTGAGGCTGGGACTCTAAACAGTGTTCTGTGCTCAGCTGTGCAGACAAACACAGAACAGTTAGTGTGTTTTGCTCAAACTTTCTCCATGGCATTAGAACTGGTACACAGTTGTCGCTTGTGAAATCAAATGACGGCGCCGTGGGTGTAAACTTACAGATTAAGGGGCGGAAATATTATAATGAGATCCCTTTGTGTCGTCACGACGGCGAAATCAGACGCGCTGGTTTTCTCAGACGCTTGCAGAAAAAGGCTTTGATTGGTTGAGCCACGTTCGAAGCTGTTGTAAATTACTCTACAAACATACACCTTTGTTTACATTTGTCTGGCAACCACTTTGTTGCAACCACAATTGATTCTGAGAAACTACGTTGTTTGGTGGAAGAATACTGTTTTTATTATTTTCATTACACTTTATTTGCTCTGTTTTATATTGTGAAACGTTACTACGTATATGGAATAACCGTTTTATAACTCCGCTTCTCATCGTGCCTAACAACGCCCCCTAGCTGTTATAAATTCACTGTAAACCACCGCTTCTTGGGGCTTATCGCTTTATTATAACTCACCCAAAAGATGTGTGAAGGATTTACGGATTCTTTGTAGCAGCCTGTGTGTGCTGAGTCCATCATTTTTATTATTCCATTTAATCATACAATCATTTATAATCATTTAAATACTCATTTCATTGATTAGTCATTTATATTGTTTTTTTTCCCCATTGTTGTTTAGTCTTATGATGTGTGGTTTCAAGGGCTATTTCTCTTCCTGAATAAGAGATAAGAGGGAATGTTTATGGGAATTCAAGGTTTATGGGATGTTGTTGTGAAGCAGTAATTTTCCATTGCTATTGATTGTGGTATAATAACACTTGTTGGATTTGTGTTCTTCAGACGAAGTCTGAGCATTGAAACATACGCAATTAAGACTATTCAATAAACTCTGATAGAAGACTGTTATTATAGTTTTGAGTACCAGACAACTTTGCTGACTAGTTGTTCTGTTACAAGACAAAACGGATATTATTTGACAGGATCTGATGTTAATTTTTGGGTGAACTGTTCCAGGGGTCATCCTCATGCGAGGGACCCCTATCCTAAAATTCAAAAGGCATCTATAAATTTTCATGCTTAAAAGACCCAGTTTATACTAATTTTAGTATTAGAATTGAATTAATATAATATATACTATACCAATTTAAAATATTATTTGGAGAATAAATAGATTTTTTTC